ATCAATAGTATTTTTACTGACTATTCGTCCGCATTTGATTCTGTTTCTCGATCATCTCTTCTTTACAAACTTGATTCTTTTGGCACTCCAAGACAGCTGCTCTCATGGTTTGCTGACTATTTCACACAGAGAGCTAGTGCACCAAATTAGGTAGGAGGACATCAATACCTCTTGTTGATAATTTTGGCATTCTTCAAGGTGCTTTTTTATCCCTACATCTTTTTCGACCTATTTTAGTGATCATTCGGTCCCACCGCCTGCGAACATCCAAAAGTATGCTGATGAGGTCGTTTTATGTCAGACAGTTTCATCTCCTTCGGAATCTCATTCTGTTACCGAAAATCTATCCCAAATCCAACAGTTTTCTGATCAATCTGGTCTCAGTCTTAACATATCTAAGTGCGTAGAGTGCATTTTTAGTCTTTCCCGCTCCTCATTTCCAACGGACTCTGCTACCCTTAACGGTAAACCTGTATCCAGAATGACCTCATTCAAGTACCTGAGTGTCACCATCGACACTGATCTTTATTGGTCCACACTTATTTACAACTGTATGAGAAAACTGAGATGCCTGTCTTTTGAGTTACGCAAACTCAGGCAAATCCGAACCCCACAGTCAGTTCTGTCCTGTTTCGTTCAATAATGCATTTTATCCATTCTGCTCTATTCCTCCCCTGTAGTGTTTCCCGGTCTTTTAAAACAAGATTTCAAAACAATTTGATAATAATCAGTCGTGCATCATTAATCCCAATGTGTTCATTAATCGCTGAACTCATTGATGGTCATATCAACTCTTGTGTTAAATTTGCCAATAAGATTCTAGATGACACTCCTCATCCACTGCACACTGACCTATCGTCTTGTCGTTCCCATCCGTCCACACGCTCTTCATTTCGGCATCTACCTTCTCGTACTAACACTTATAAGAATTCCCCTGTATCCAACTAGACCCAGCTCCTAACCAAAAAGGAACAGGTTGAAAGTGAACTACATCAGAAGTTTTGTACATGAAACCAATTTCAGGGACATTCTTCACGTTGTATGTTACATGAAACTGTGTATTTCATTCCGCGTGGCGAACAGTGTACATTTTTAACTGAAATGCAAGCATATAAGCTTGCACAAGTTACAGAAATAAAAAAATACAATTACACGTAGGTTATAGCTTGTTTATTTCGGGGAGGTTGGGGGAGGTTCTACGTCTCAACGGACCACACGAAGCAAATTTGTCCAACTTTCGTATAATTCACTTGTGTCTCTTTGTGACTCTAACACTGTGCCAAACCAATAACACTGAAATTAGTAACAGTTATCATTTAATGTGTATCCAGACTATCGTAACCATTCGAGAATATAGCAATTAATGACAAGAAAACCGTAAGCCTGAGGAGAGCCAGTTCGGGTGTGTATGTATATATCTACAACTGAAAAACGCTGTTTAGAGATGATGAAAGTAGAAAATCCAGTTCTGTAATACAGAGTTATCATCTAGATTGTGACGACAAATTGAAATGACCTGAGCACCTTTCATGAGATCATTGGGGTAAATGCGGAACGCGGTAAAACCTTACACATATTGTGGGCCATCATGTGTGCCTATAGAA